ATTGAATCAAGATCAGAACTGAATTAAGAGCTTGTGAATCAAATGGAATTATGAAATCTGTATCAATGCCCAGCCCAACATCTGAGTGATCATATATATATATATATATAAAACTTACAAAGCCAAAGGTGCCGTGATAGGTAGTCCTTAAAAGAGTCCTTGGGGTGTATTTTATTTTTATTTCTAGTTTATATACTTATACATTAGTAATTAATTTTACACTACATGTTTAATACTTTTTATATATTATTATTTTTCTTTCTGTTAATACATGTGTACTATTTGTGAGCAGTCCAGCTGCAATTGCTTTGGCAATACAAATGTATAATTTTTGTCATGTCAATAAAGCACTCTTAAATTGAAATTGAAATTGGTAATGGTTTACGTTTTAAAAGTCTGTCATGCGCACACATTCGCTGTGTCTCATTTAGAAGGCTGCGTCCTCCGGAGGGAAAAATGCCGGCGCCGGCAGATGTAACGTACACACAAGCGCAGATGTGGTGTTTACAACTTACCTTAATTCGCCTCGGTCAAAACGGATAAACTTTGTTTTTAATAACCTCCTCCTTTTTTTCTCTAATAGATGCCTGCTGTATGTAGGCTGCAGCTCCTCAAACATTGAACAAAATAAAACAAGTAAAAGCATTTTTTTTTTCAAATTACTTTCCAAATTTAGAAATAATTTTCCTTCATTTAAGTAGTGTGAGAGCGTAACGATGCTCTAAATGTGTTGGCATAGCAACGCGATACTTCCGGTTTCCTTTTCCGCCTGTCCTACGAAGGACGTCTCGTTTTAATCCTAGGTTGAGGACACTTCGTACATGCATCCTACAGAGGATGCGACCTCCAGAGGATTCGACCTCCGGAGGGTGCAGCCTTCTAAATGAGACACAGCTATTCTTCTTCTTCTTCTTCTTCTTCTTCTTCTTATATCTTTCCGGCAGTGTAGACGCTACTAGGCGTATTACTGCCCTCCACAGGTCAAAGTTTGAACTAAATTCTTATATACAGTCCTGTATTATGCAAGAACTGAAGAACTACCTCAGAGATCAGTTTATGTTTATCACTGTGTCCAAACAAAGAAATAACAGAAAACACTTTAACTCCAAATTCTGCCAATTTATCAAAAAGTGCTTTTCTTTCTGCATTATACTTCCTACATTCCAAGAAAACATGCCCTATGTTTCCATATTCCCACATTTACATAATCCAGAAATATGCTTTCCTACAATATACAAAAAGTAATTTAACCCACAGTGCCCCAACCTCAATCTACACAGTTTAACGGAGTCCCTACGAGATGGACAAGTACAAAAACATATTTTCTTAACTTTAGGTTGAATAGAAAAATAATGTCTACCCTTGATTTCCTTTTCCCATCCTCTCTGCCATTCTTTTATTAAGCCCTCTTTAACTCTTTCCCTCAGTTCCACCCTCCCCAAGGATACATGGATATCTATTTCTCCTCCTAAGCTCTCCTTCGCTATATAATCTGCCTGCTCATTCCCTATCACCCCAGCATGCCCAGGCACCCAACAGAAAGTGATATTGCAAGCAAAGCCAACTCTAAAAAACACACTCAAGATTACACACTCCCATTAACTGGATCTCTAGACCCATCTGTAAAAATGATTATACTACTCTGATTAATTGAATTAAGATATACCACTATTCTTGGTATCACCTCCATCTTATCTTTTTCCTGAAGAAAAGCAAACTCAACTTTCAACTCAGGCATCACCCAATATGGCATAGGTAACCATCCTATATGCTCTGCAATACCTCCCTGTTCCAATCCCATCTTCCTAGCCCACCTGATTTACATTAATAAAACAATTATTATATTTCCTACTTCCAACAAACTCTTGCAACAAACACCTTGCTGGATATGTATAATTACATCCACTAAGTTTTACCCAGTACTGTAGTCCTAATTTAATACGCCTTAACCATAAGGGCATTTCTCCTATTTCTATAAGCAAGGCTGAAACTGGGGAAGTTCTGAAGGCCCCACAACAAATCCTCAAAGCCCTTGTTTGCACTACATCTAACCTATTCCACACAAGCCTCAGTTTATATAACCTCTGCCAAAAGTTTAATTTTGTGGGGTGTAAGCAAAGTTTATATATTTTATTTTTTAATCATTTTAAAAATACATTTATTTCACCACACTTGTGCTTACCCAGATATTAAATTGAGAATGCAGATTCATGTTTTTCATCAGCAGAAACATTTACAGTAGCACTACTGCTTTTGAGCAAACAGTAAAGTACAGCAGATTCCCATAAACAGTAAATTACTGTAAATGGCATAAAAATACCCATAATACATTACATATTGCAGTAGTTAACCGTAAAACACATATATGGTGGTTTACTGGGCTTTTTTGCGGTAAGTAACTGTAAAATTACAGCAAAGTCTAACAGTGTGGCGTTTGAAGAGAATTATCTATGTGTGAGCACTAGAGGGCATTTAAAGTGTATGAGTAAAAATGAGAAATAGTTCAAGGATTGAAATATTGCAAACAGTATAGGCTACAGCAGAATAATTGTGCAGACATACAAGAAAATTGTAAACATTAACAAAACCTGTAATTTTTTACTAAATAAAACTGTAACTTACAAAAAAAGCTAAAT